TTTCTGAAATCTGATCTAACCTTCATAATTTTCCCATCCATGTTGTCTGTTTTAATAGCTGTGCTTTGAATAGAGAATACTTTAGTTCTATGTAAAAGTTGATTTGTCACATTTATGTGATTGTGGTTTGGATTTCTAACATGAAGTTACTGAAATACATAAAATATTCATGGAAATTCTTCACTTCATGAACAATGCCCTTCTGTCTTGGAAGCTGCTATTTTGTAACGACACAAACTATATAACTTCACATAGCATTTGAGCTACTTTAAAAATGGCAGGACTGTCTTAAATAAGTACTGTTGTCGCACAATCCATATTTCCAAATTCAGAAGCAATACATTGGTTATATTTATCTCTTTATATAGTACAAAGCAATGAAAGCAAATGCATAAATTGTCAAAATTAATTTAACATAATTTAAATAGTGTAAATAGATGAATTACATATTATGATAGATGGGTTACACAATGGATTATACAGTACAATGGATTACAAGTACAAATACAAAGGAAAATAAGGTCCTTGGGGTACATGCTTTTTATATCATACAATAAAGGGAATTATTTATTTGGTTTTGTATTGTACATTTATTCAATTTTCATTTCCTTCATAGTCTAAATTGTTTCTTCCCCTCCCCCTGCAAGTTGTTTCTCTGTCTCTTCAGCTGACTGTGGCAACAGTCGTGCCCTCTTCATTTTTCCCCTCTTCAGCTGTAGCTACTTGATTGAACTTACCCAGCTCTTTCACACTTTCCAGCAGAGATTTAAATGTTTCCTTCAGACCTTTCTCCATTAGCCAACCCTCACTTTCACATTCAGGATCTTCAGGATTTGCAATGCTCTCCAGAGCTGTGTGCAAATATTGGATCCCAACCATCGCCGCCACCTAAAATAGAGGTAGAGAATATACCATCAGTTAATCAAATCAGTGGTAGTCAAAAACAGGAAGGCATTGTCCAAGTATAAACTGGTTTAAAAGGGCTCTTAACTTGCAGTGGTAATGTCCCTGTCTCTCAGCCAGAAGGCCTGCATTCAAGTCTCACCCAGCTCCAAAGGTGCATCATAACATGTCTGAAAAGGCTAATTAAAATATCTATAAACTGGTTTATTGATAGGGAGTACAGTGCCTGTGAACCTTTCAAATTAAAACTGTTGCCCATGGAAAGAAACATTGCCTCTGAAAATAAATCATTCACATTGTCACCTTAACGCCATTTGTCTGACTGACAACGTGAGATTATCCTCCTTGGGTAAGACCTGCACTGAGACTTTTTTGGCTCTGAATGACATTTGTTCATGGATGAATTGAATCCATACTCTGATACCCGAATCAGGAATGCCCTTGTAATTTTGGGCATTGTTGATGTGTCAGCAGACAGCCTGGCAAGATAGATCTGTCACAGGGATTGAATTAGAATTTTCACTTGGCTCTGGATAATCCTGCAAGCCTGTGCTCCGGCAGGTCGTTCTGGCTTCTCACACAGTGGCAAGCATAAAAATACTTTTTGATGGCATCCTGCATGTTTGAAATTAGATGGACATCTCTGAGCCCATTTAGGGTCCATAAAACTTTGATTCTCAATAATATTTTCCCATGTTCTCTGGATTTAGCTGAAAGGGGTGTGTGAAGAGAATGCATTCCATATTATGTTAAAAAATGTTACAATAATGAGTTGGTCAGTAAATTGGTTGCCTGACTGCAATTTCAGGAGGAAGTCCGTTCATCTTGTCCCAATAAAAATAAAACTGAAAATATTAAAAAATGATCCTGAAGATCCAATTCAAGAGCGAACTATACGGTAAATGAAAATTGATGCACAGAGATCTGGGTGTTCAGGTCCATTGTACCTGAAGGTGGCAACGCAGGTAGATAGAGTGGTCAAGAAGGCATACAGCATGCTTTCATTCATCGGATGGGATATTGAGTACAAGAGTTGGCAGGTTATGTTACAGTTGTATAGGACTTTGCTTCGACCATTTTTAGAATACTACGTACAGTTCTGGTTGCCACATTACCAAAAGGATGTGGATGCTTTGGAGAGGGTGCAGAAGAGGTTCACCAGGATGTTGCCTGGTATGGAGGGCACTAGCTATGAAGAGAGGTTGAGTAGATTAGGATTATTTACATTAGAAAGACAGGTTGAGGGGGGACCTCTACAAAATCATGAGAGGTATAGACAGGGTGGATAGCAAGAAGCTTTTTCCCAGACTGGGGGACTCAATTACTAGGGGTCACGATTTCAAGGTGAGAGGGGAAAAGTTTTTAAGGGAGATATGCGTGGATAGTTCTTTACGCAGAGGGTGGTGGGTGCCTGGAATGCGTTGCCAGCGGAGATGGTAGAGGCGAGCACGATAGCGTCATTTAACATGTATCTAGACAGATACATGAGTGGGCAGGGAGCAGAGGGATACAGATCCTTGGAAAATAGGCGACAGGTTTAGATAGAGGATCTGGATCGGTGCAGGCTTGGAGGGCCGAAGGGCCTGTTCCTGTGCTGTAATTTTCTTTGTTCCTTGTCCTTTGTCCCATTTCTGGTTCTGCATGAACCTGCTAATGGATTTATGTATTTGTTAGAATCCCTGCCAACCAAACAAGAGGACTTATTTTTAATTAACCAATTTTCGGTCTATGCTGTTGACTGCTGGCTTATGGGTCTTAAGTCATTCATGGCATTCCAAGTCTGACCTTTATGTAGTTGATTTAACTGACCTATTAGAATAACATTCTCGGCTGCTGACTTACACAGCATATCGAGTATCTTCAGAGTCTGTGTGTGTTATAAAAGATTCGTAAGGTCAAATTTCCTGACTTTTGCAATTATGTCACAATATGACTTTGCTGTCCTGCCCTGAACAAGCCTCCAAACGGCCAGAATGCAAACCAGAATAAGGCAACAGTGGTGTTAGACCAGTATTGAATTTAGGTTGCTTTGGTGCTAATCTCTTTGGACCCAGGAGGTAATAACTGTTTCTATTGACCTTGATTTATAATGTCCAAATGTACAGAAGGAATAGACCTTTAGCCCTTGTGCCTGCCCTACCATTTTAATAAAATCATGGCTGATAGTATCGTGACCTCGAATCAACATAGCCACCTTTTCTCCTCCTCCTTGTTGACCAAGAATCTATCCACCTCTGCCTTAAAATTATTCAAAGATTCTGTTTGTGCTATCTTTCCAGGAAGAGAATTTCAAAAATACTGTTCTCTGAGAGAAAAAAAAATGCCTCATCTCTCTTTTAAACAGGTGACCCCTTTTAACAGTGACCCCAGTTCTAGGTTCTGACAAAATGCATCCTCTCCACTTCTATCCTATCACTACCCTTCAGGATCTTGTACGTTTCAATTTGAACCTTATGTTATAAGACATTACCTGAATTTCCTGCTATAATGCATGGCAACACAACTGTGTGTTTCTCAAATTCTAAAATGAATATTTGATGCACCATGGTCTTTCCATGGAGAAATGTTGAAACTCTAAAATGTAGAAAATCTGTTTGAGCAACTCATTTCACCACATGAACATTTATTTAAGAGAGCTTTTTACAACTGAAATGTAGGATTTATTGCCCAGCGTCTTGATGGGTAAATATGTTCTAATTTCTATTTTCAAGGAGGAGAACAAGATGGTTCTTACACCTAAAGGGATCAAAGGGTAAGGGGAGAAAACAGAAACACAGCAGGTCATCAGAAAATAGTAATACAAAAACAAAAACCTGCAGATGCTGGAAATCTTAAAGAAAAACTGAAAATGCTGGACCTGCTCAGCAGGTCAGACAGCATCAGTGGAGAGAAAATCAGTTATTGTTTCAAGTCAATGACCTTACATCAGAATGATGTCTGAATTGTTTTCCACGTGAAACTTTAACTCTGCTTCTTTCTCCATTTATGCCTTCAGACCTAATGAACATTTTTTTATATTTTCAGTTTTATTTTTATTGGAAACATCTACCCTGCTCATTTTTGAGAAATAGTACCATGACATTTTTTCCATCCATTTGAGTGAATGGGCACAAACTTTACTACCTTCTTTGAACGTCAGCATCTCTGAGAGTGCAGCATTTCTTGGTGCTGCATGGGAATATCAACCTACATTTAATGATCATCAATGCATAGTGTCATTTGATTGCATTACATTCCAACTCGGACGAGTTGGATGTCATGGCTAGATGGCCATGTTGAGTATCTTTGACACCTAACTTAAGGATAATAAGTCAAGTCTTTATAATACATGGTTTAATCCTGCAATTTTCTTGGTAGTAGAACTTTGATAAATGTCTGCTTTTGAGTTTCTCTGAAGTGTGAATATCATGGCATAATTTGTGGAAATTTGTGGAAAGGTAGGAAAGTTATTTTTAAACTGGAGTGAAGTTTTAATTGAGGGAAATAATCTGGATCTCAGGCAATACACAGGGTGTGCAGTATGAGACACATTCACTACTTGCCATTGTGATATCAATTCATTTTGATAAATTGTCTGATAATCATGCTTCTCAAGTTTTAAAGAAGGTCAAATGGCCCATCAAATAAGCTTCACCGAAGTTCATGCATAATTATCATATCATAGTCTTTCCTTCTCTTTGCCAGTGATTTCCCTCTCCCTTTTTCCTTGTTCCCTGTATTCATTCCAAGGAATGCTGTCTGTCTTCTGGATGGAGTGCTTGTCAATTGAGTAATGGCTGGGCTACTTGGACCCATGTTGTTTGGAGCTTAGAAGAAAGAGATTCGATCTTATTGAAACATGTTGGATTCTGAGGGGGCTTGACAAGGTATATGCTGTGCAGTGTAGAACTGGATGGCACAGTTTAAAAATAAGGAATCTCTAACTTAAGATGGAGTTTTTATTCTTCCGTGCTATCATTATTAAGGTCAGCATTTCTTGCCCATCCCTAACGTTTCAGAAGGGAATTAAGTGGCAATCAGATTGCTGTAGGTCTGGAGTCAATTGCAGGCCAGACCGTGTAAAGATAACAGATTTTTTCCCTAAAGGCAATCGATGAACTATAAACTTTTACGACAATTAATTCTAGTTGTCTTGGTTACCATTACAGGGACTAGTTTTATATTCTGTAGTTATTATTTGAAGTTAAATACTAGGATTTAAATGCTCGGCCCCACAGCATTCGCCTGGAGCTCTGGATTATTAGTCTAATGCCATTATTATTGCACCAACATCTTTTCCCTCTGCTCTCTGAAGATCAGAAATCCACAGATTGATGACCCTCTGAAAGAAGTGAATTAGAGTCATTTAAAATGTTCAAGATCAGCTAGATTAGATGGACTTTTGATCTAGAATGGGCTAAAGGGTTAGGAAAAGCAGGCAAAACACAGTTAAGACTTCTATCGGATCAGCCGTGATATTGCTGAATGATGGAGCAGGCTTAAGGGTCCATGTGACATAGTCCTGCTCCTATTTCTTGGGTTGTTTTCCCCACCAGCCACCATCCAACACATACATTCTCTCACATGTTTGGCTCTGAGTTTGGAACAGCGAATTCACATTCAGAAGTAGTAGTAGTATGGACTGCAACCTGAATCCTTAAAGGGTGAATAAACACAGGCTATTGTGAAGGAAAAGCTCACATTTATAGTTCACCTTTTACAACGTGAGGTATCCAAACAATTGAGAAGATCTTCATTGCCTGTATTCACTGTTTGTTTTTGTAAGGAAAACATGGCAGTAATTTGTGCAAAGCAAGTGCCCACAAACAATTGTGAATTAAACACCACATACTCTGCTTCAATTATATTTGTTGAGGAATAGATATTGGCTAGGAAAGTTTCCACCTGTTCTTTGAATTGTAGCATTGTCACAGAATCTTTTCTGTCCTTCTGGGAAGGTACACTTGATTTAATATGGCCTCTGAGAAATGGTCCCTCTTACAGTGTAGCACTTCTTCAGTACAGCACTGAAATTTCAAGCTAGGTTCTACGTTCAAGGCCATGAGGTAGAACTTGAGTCCATGATTTTCTGATTCTGAGCTAAGATTCCTTCCAATCAAGGCAAGCTGGTACCACTTTAAGATTATAAAAGCTTGTATATTTAAGACAATTGAAATGTTCTATCATCAACCAATAACTGTAATCCAAGAATACTGTCAAGATTTGTTTTCATACTACATCTCAGCCCTACTCGTGTTGATGAAAGGGAGGATAAAACCCACCTTATCTTGACTATGCTATCTTTTATAAACATTCTCCTGTATCTGTTGTTTTCAAATGCTACAAAATATGTTTGAAACTTTTTCATAATCTGTCAAACAAAGTCACTGTCCAAAACTAATGACAAAGAAAAGCAAGTGGATTTTCTGAAGATCCTTCTTTTTACTTTATTGTTGGGAAATGGGCACTGATAACTCGGCAAACACTTATTTCCCATCCCTAGTTGCCCTTGGACACAACTGAGTGGCTTTCCAGGCAATTGAAAGTTAACCTCATTTCTGTGTGTCTGGAGTCAGATGTAGATCAAGCCAGGTAAGGGCAGTAAGTTCTTTCCCTAAAAAGCATTAATGAACCAGATTTGTTTGTTTTTGTTTGTTTAATGACACTCATTTCCTGGTCATTATTGTGTTTCTTATTCCAGACCTATTCATTGGATTCAAATTCCACCATTGCTGTGTGGGGTTTGAACCTAAGGCCCCAAAACATTATTTAGGCCTCTAGATATTTACTAGTCTAGTTATAATGCCACTAGACCATTGCCTGCCCTTCACATACAGGACATTTAGAAGCTTGAGGTGGATTTAGAATTCACTGTAGCTAAAGGATTTTGCACCAGTAATCAAATAAGTAGTCTCTAATTCAACTCCTCCTTTGTCATGCAGACAGGTGAGGCAGAAATACTACATCTACTTTAGAGCCAATTTCGCTTATCAACAATACTTAAACTTCTGCTTGCTAAACTTCATACATATGAGCCATTAATGAAGTAAACTGACTTTAATCCAACAAAACTATCAACAATTCATCAGCATAACCGTAGAAAAAAAACAAGAGATATCAAGGTGTGGAGCTGGAGGAACACGGCTAGCCAGGCAGCATCAGAGGAGCAGGAAAGCTGACGTTTTGGTTCGGGACCCTTCTTCAGAAATCTGAATCTGAAATCCCGACCTGAAACGTCAGCTTTCCTGCTCCTCTGTTGCCTGGCCTGCTGTGTTCCTCCAGCTCCAGACTGTGTTATCTCTGACTCCAACATCGGCAATTCTTACTATCTCTCATGGGAAAAAAACAAATCTCCCACAACCAATCCTCAAAGTGTGAATCTGGACCTGTTTGAAGTAAACATAATGCAGGTAGCACCTGTTCAGAGAGGAAACTGAAACTTTTTCTCTACAGATACTGCCTGGTTTGCAAAGAATTTTCAGCATTTTATTTTTGATTTTCTAGCAGCCACAATATTTTTCTTTTGCCCAACTTATTATTGTACTTTGGATAATATAATCCAGTCCTTATTAATCTTGCAGATAGCTTCTAATTTTGTCATGAATAGGGAATTAGTTAGCTTAGTTGGCTGGAAAGCTGATGTATAGTTCACAATAACGATTGACAGTGTGGATAGTTGCTATTTTGTTTTGGTTGAGGTTGATTTGTGATCTGCCCTCAAGTGGAAAGCAATCAAACCACTACTGGCAAAAGCAGTTAAGGAAAGTGGCTTAAGAAGTAGTGTCGTCAACCAGTGAGCAAAGGACCTGTCCCTGCAGGAGCTTTATCAATTGGTGCTATTCTCCAGTCTTTTCTATCTCCTTGCACACTGGTTTTTATTCAAATTATCATCTAATGTCTTCTTGATTGCTTGGAAATGGGGTGGAAGTTTATTCAATGTATTCCAGATTGGAAAAAATGTTCTTACATCACATTTGTTACATTTGTAAAGCAACTTAAATCTATGGCCTCTGCTCTCAATGCTTTTTTATGAGTGGGAACAGTTTCTTTTTCTTGTCTGTCCAGACTTTGCATGATTTTGAAAACTTCTATCAGATCTTCTTTTGGTTGCCTTTCCTCCAAGGAGAATAGCCACAACCTCTCCATTCTGTCCCTCTAATTGAAATTTCTGAACCCTGGAACCATTTTTGTGAATCTTTTCTGCATCCACAACTGTACGTGATACTCCAAGGTCTAACAAGTATCTTGTATAACTTCAGCATTGCCTCCTTGTTCTTGTATTCTCTGTAAATAAAGTACAGAATCTTGCATGCTATAACTGTTCTCTCTAACAGAATCTAAGAGGTCTACTGCACAGAAAAGGCTGTTTGGTCCCTTGCGTCTGTGCCAGTCAAAAGCAAGCCCCTAACTCTTCTACTGTTATAGATAATAATGAAGGTAACAATCAAAACCATCCTATCACTTTGAACTGACATGCAAAACTTTGCAAATTCAAAATGGATCAGATTTTTAGGCTGCCTGCATGCACTCTTTAGAACAAAGGCATTTTTTTTATCTTCCATGTTTAGAATGTGAGCTTCATCTGAGAAACAGCACAACTTCCTCCAGTTTCCTCCTGACTAGAAGGACTTGTCAATGTATTATAAGAAGGAGCCAAGTTCGTTGGATGGAAAGTAAGAATCCAGAACATTGAGTTCTGTTGCCCTCCTATTGCTTCTGCTACCTTTCAGAAGCTGATAGAGGACTGTGGTCCTGCCTACTCAATATAGCAATCAGCAAGCAGCGCCCTTGTGAGAATTTTCCAACAGAAATACCACTCAAGAAGTGTAATCATTTCCCAGATTGATTCCCTTCCCTGTCCTCACTAATCTATCATTATTAGAGATTTGCAATAGGTGAGCTGCTGGATGAACACCTCAACAGCTAAGTTTTAAAATGCCAATGACAGTTTTATACAAGATTCAACAGCATTCTAAGGTTTTAGTCGTTTCTTTAATTATCAGTCCTCTTACCTCTAATAACCAAAGGAATAAGACCAGCCCTCCCATGGACTGCATCATGTTAGTGTAATAGTTGAGGAGAGCCTCCTTGCAGCCCCGAGTCCACAGGTTGAGCTCCTCGCTCTGGAACTCGTAGCTGTAATGGGCAGAATTGTTGGTGATCTGCTGCTGGATACAGGGTCGAGGGGAGGCTGGATTGCAGCAACTGAACGGGACCCCATCCGTCAGGTACTTCCCATCGATATTGCTCTTAACACGGCTGTAGGGAGGAGAGATTTGGGACATGTTAAGGCTCACAACTCCAACAAGGGCAGAAAGGCAGTAGTGGATGTAATTGATAGCACACTGTGCTGCTGTTAGTGCAAACTCAAAAACACACACACCACTTCATGTGTTTGGACTTAGTGTGAGACACGTCTTACTTGCACTTTTCCATCTCTGACTTATTAGGTGCAGCAGGAAGCCACTCTCCCATTGTGCCTGCATCTGCAGTATTACCTGGTACCAATCACCTGCCTTCTCCCCATCTCCTGTCCACTATCACTATCAGATGCCAGTCCAAAGTCCTCTTGAATGCCTCAATCAAGCCTCAATTGAACCTCACTCCCCCATAGATTGAGGGATTTGATTTCAAACCGTAACTGCTGCCTGAGTGAAAATGTTTTTTCCTCGCTTCACCCTTGTTTCATTTACATGTCACTTTATATCAATGCCTGCATCTCTTCTTTCTTTTACAAGTGGAAACAGCTCCTCCCTCTATTCTATCCAGCCTGCTCAGGATTTTGCAAGTCTCAATCAAATCTCCTCTCAGCCGCTTCCCTTTATGGAGAACAGTGCCAACTTATTCAATATATGCTCCTAGCTGAAGTTTCTCATTTCTAGAATCTCTTGTCACTTCCCCTCTCTCCTGCTATAAATGTAGTACCAGAACTCTACACAACACACCAGCTGAGGTCTAACAAGTGCTTTATACAAGTTCAACATCACCTCCCTGCTCTTGTACTCAGTGCCCCTATTAACAAAGCCCAACACACTATATGTATTATTGACTGCTGTCTTACCCCTACCCAGCCCCTTCAATGCTTTGTGTACATATATTTCTCATTGTACTCACTCTTTCACCTCCTTGGAGCTGAAGTCCAGGTATCTGTTGCTGATCCACTGGATTTCAAACCAGTCTCTGAAGCCATTGTTGCCACAGCAGTGGAACTCGATCTGAAGCTGGTCGATAGTCTTCTTCATGAAGCACCGTCCTGGAGTGTCGGTGTCTCTGTAATATTTCATGCTATTCTTCAGCCCCTTAGCCAGAGTATCCTCAAGATAGATCTTCATCAGAAAGCACAGCACCACAGAGAGGAAGGTCAGGCAAGTGAAAAACAAGCAGGCGGCAAGGTAGAACTTGAGGAAAGATTTCCACCTGGCATATTTTGCTGGGTCAAGGGAATCATAGCAAAACTTGCCACCAAAGCAGTTGATCGTGCAGGCCAGCACTCCCACCAAGATCAGAGAGTTGGGGACTAAGTGGCTCTCTGTATTGTCCATCACCTCGCTTCGTTTTTTCAGCTCAATCTTAAGGAACAAGCCCATCCCAAAGACAACTATGCCTGCCAAGACACAAAACCAGTTTAGGAGCCAGAGCCCCTGAGCCAACTTGACACGCTTCTGTACGGTAAACTTGACTTTGAGAATGGCCATTTCCTACTGCTGAAGTCCAGGGAGTGGGACTTAAGCTTGGTTTTGGGGAAATCAGTGAGCTTTGGGCATGGGTGCGGAAAGGGCAGGAGACAGACCGCCTGAGATCAATTCAACCTTGTGTCCCTCCATTTGGCCACCCTCAAAAGCAAAATCTCCAATGATACGAGAATGGTATGGGCACGATGAGCTGTCCAAGCTACCGAGCCAGAGCCGGGGGACAGAGTCCGCCTCCAGCGCTAACCTTGGTGCACCTTTCCCCAGCACTGGACAGAGCTTTTCCAGAACGCGCTCGAGAAAATCTGACAGTGCAAGACGTCACCTTAAAACCAGTAATAGGTTTTATCGTTAATCATTTAGAGAAAGCTCTGGCCCACTTGAGCGATTGAAATTAATCCGCCCTTAACTTCACCCGGTTGCCCTCACGTTGTCAGCGACTGTATCTTCACCTAGCCGCTTTCTTGTATTTGAAACGTCCAGGGAGAGCTTTTTATAAACTGAATATTCTTTGAAACAACTTCATGGATTATTTATGTCGAATTAAGATCGTTTTGATACGTGCACCAGGTTTCCTCGACTAAAATGTAACGAAAGCCAAAAAAAAGTTTCAACTTAATAGGCTCAGTAAGCTTAAATATAGGTCAATACCCTGGAAAGAACACTGAGATCAAATAAAAATAGACCTACACTAACCGTGTGTTTTTAAAGCTGCGCTCCGGATAAAATTCTGGAGGAGACGTTATACTTAAAGGCTTGTTATACTGGGCTAATGATTCGACAGGTATTCATTTCTCAGTGCTATTTTCAGTTTCGAATCGTCGCCCAAAGACTGCGATGCACAACACTTGTGTTTAATGAGTGCTTTGAAGCTGGCAAACTGTCGCAAGGCGCAGAGAAATATTATTTCACAGGAGTTGACAGAGCGAGGAAAGCTTAATATTCATCTAGAGGCATCTCTTGCTTCCCCTCCGTATAGTGTCACAAACGATCTCTCTCTAATGATTCATTTATCTCTATCCAAGTTAATTCCGAAGAAAATATATTTGGGTTGAGTAGATTTAAAAAATCTTGAGAATGCAGAATTCTTTATAGGCGGACAATTAGAAGACTTCCATATCCTGTACATCGATTCCCCCACCTTCCGCAATCAACTGTGTCAACATAGACCGGTAGAATATTTGGGCACTGCATTAAGAAAAATACAATAAGATATTGAACTCCCATTAATGGAAGCCCCTATCCCACTGGAATACCGGCTATTGGCCTTGCATTAATCTGCCACTGATCTTAGTCCTAGGTGATAAATATCACCAGATTTGAAACACAAATATAACTTTACTTCACCCAACAAAATTATGGACATACTTCAGCAGCAGCGTTTTACTATCCAAGTCAAGCTGGTGAATGCAAATGGTGAATTGGCTCTTGGTATCAGTGTAATGAACACAATGAAGTTGGTGCAGAAACTCTTTGAGAAAGAGTGACATCAGATGACAGTTGTGGTTTGTGTCAGAACCAATAATTTAACAATGAATAGGTTTTACAAAATTAGTTCCATGAGTTAGGAAACACTGTAAGAACTAAATCCTCAAAGGAGTAAACTCAGATTTTGCTGGTACCATACACTAGACTGTACTGAATGTGCTGAGGAAGCATGGTATGATTTTGGCCACATACATGGTATAGGACCAATGGGTTCAAATTCTTAGATTCCAGGGCCAGCAAAGACTTGTGTGCCAGAGCTAGTCATAACTCGACCAATTCTGTTCTGAGGGTCACCAGACTCCAAATTTTAACTTTGATTTCTCTTCACAGATGTTGCTAGACCTGCTTAGCTTTCCTGGCAATTTCTGTTTCTGATTTACAGCATCTGCAGTTCTTTCGTTTTTTTTTTAAACAACTCAAGCATGCTGTTTCAGTACAGATAAAACACTGGCATCTACTCAATAATCTGGAAAATTAACCCAGGTATATGCCATCCACAAAAGGTGAGACAAATCATATCCAACAAATTACCTCCCCCCTCAGTCTCCTTTCAAGCAGCAGCACAGTGATAGCAGGTGTCTTTGACATTGTTATCCAGTGGCAATTGTCCAGCAATGACTTGTTTCATCAATGCTCAGTTGGCATTCCACCAGGACCACTCGACTCCTAATCTCATTACTGCACTGATCCAAGCACAGACAAATGAGCTAAATTCCAGATGTGAAGTGACAGAATTTCACTCTGTGTGGTATCAAGAAACATTATAAAAAATGAAGACAATGGGAAACAAGGGTAAAACTCTCTACTGGTTGGAGTTATAGCTGTCAAAATGGAAAGGTTATGGTTCTGGGGGTCCAGTTTTTTCAACCTTAAGATATACCTTCAAGAATTTCTCAGAGGAGTGTCTAGCAGAGTTTCCTAGACCAAACCAAAGCTGCTTCATAAATAACCTTTCCTCCATTATAAACTCAGGAGAAGAGATGTTTTCTGATGATTGCACAGTATTGAGTACAATTTGTGACTGTTCAGATACTGAAGCAGTTTAAACACATATGTAGTAAGGTCCAGACGACATTTAGATTTGGGTTGAGAAGTGCCAAGTGAAATTTGTATCCACAGTGCCAGGCAATGACTATCTCCAACAAGACAGAATCTAACCATTGCCCCTTTTATATTCAATGGCATTGCCATCAAAGAATCCATCATAATCAACACCTAAGGGTTATCACTGACCAGAAACTGAACTACATAAATATACTGCAATACAGTAGGTCAAAGGATTGGGATTCTATGGTGAATAACTCATTTCTTTGCTCTACAAAACTTCTCCAGCATCTACAAGACACAAGAGAGTGATGGAATACTTTCCACTTACCTGGATGAATACAGCTCCAACAAAAAGGTTGACACCATCTAAGACAATGCAGCCCGATTAGCCAGTACCCCATCCACTACCCTAAACGTTTACTCCCTCCACCATCAGTATACAACAACAGCTGTGTGTATTTTCTAGTGTGGATTGTGAAACTCACAAAGGTTCACTTGACGTGTCTTGTGTGTGTGTGGTGCAGGTTTCTCAGGGAGGCTGAGTTGCTGTGACATGAACTCTCCTCATCTAGCCATATTGATGTTGTGTCACTCTTAGTACATGCATGAATCTCAAAGCTCATTAGTTCTAAGTTGTTATTGCTCCATCTGGTCTTCTGCCTACTTAAGTACATTTCGCCCCAGCATCATCTTTTCTATACAATTGCTTCATGCCACAAACACAAAGTATTTCAACTTCTATTTGTTGTCCACTAATAACAATCCATCTGTGTTGTCAACTCCCAGCTGTTAATACCAATTCATTTGTGTGTTTGTCAGTACATTTTTTACATGCTGTTAGATGATCATGAGTACAGGTTTGGGAAGTGCTTTGAAAGAACTCTTGGTGAGTTACTGCAATTCATTGTTTGAGTGGACACAATACAGTTGTTTTGTGCTAGTAGTGGAGGAAATGAATATTTTTAAGGCAGGTATCGATTAAGCAGAATGCTTCACTCTACCCTCATCCAAGCAAGTGACAATATAACATCAAACTGTTGAACGGTGAACCTCTCATTGTAGGGGATTTGGCGATGACCATGCAATTAAACACTGTGGTGAACTGCTGCATTGTGTGAATAAAAATGGTTGGTTGAAGATTCTTTGACCTTCATTGGTCCAGTTTCTCTTTTTCTCCAGGGAGTGAGGTTAAATTGGTTATGAGACTTTCAAGAGACTATGAAACAGAAAAAAATTCAACTTGGCTTTTTTGTCTCACAGACACTCTCTGGCATATTATTATTTATGCAACATTGCAGTATATATCTTTGGCCAAAATTTATAGCCAGCATTGAGTATACCCAGCAGCAGATCCCTGAGCCTGAAGGGCTTGCAGTTCCAGAGCATCAACAGTTCCATCAGATTCGGGCACTACAGAGGCAGGTTGGTCAAGTGTCCCAACAAAGCTTTGATGGACCCCTGGGCTGGTGCCTCCAATCAAATAGTAGCCTTTTCAGTTGGTATTTGGGACTCTACCTGGCAGGAAGATCCCAGTGATGCTTCTACTTGAATCTTCATTGCATTAAATCAACTGCTCACCTCTGTGGAATTGGCAGTCAATTTGATTTAAAATGGGAGACCCAGATTCCTCACTGAGGAGAAATATTTTTTCAACATTTCCCCTGTGAAGAACAGCCAGAATCTTTTATGTTTCAATAAAATTGGCTCTCTCATTTCTAAATGTCAATGATCACAAGCCCATTTTACTCATTTTCCGTCATAAAAGCAACCTATTCAGCCAAGTGATCATTTCTCTGAACTGTCTCAATCAGTACTCAAATTGTTGAGTTACCACTCAACAGCAGATCAAAACTCTAATCAGTACTCAAATAATTAGTTTCACAAACATTTTGTTCTTTGCTTCCCAACCAAGATTTGACTATCCTACAAAATCTTTGCAGTTAATATTAATATTGATTGATTTATTGTCATGTGTACTGGAGTACAGTGAAAAGCTTTGTTTATGAGTGGTACAGGCAGATCATTTGTAGAAAACTTAGAGGCATACAAGTAACATTGTATAGGGTGTGCGCGAGGCGAGATCAACGTTAGCAAGATCAGCATTATTTGAAGCTACAGAGTCCATTTATCAGTCTATTAACTGCTGGGAAGAAGCTGTTCCTGAACCTGCTGGTATTCAAGCTTCTGTATCTTTTGCCTGATGGAAGGGGTTGTAGGAGATCATTACTAGAGTGGGATGTGTCTTTGATGATGTTCGCAGCCTTTCCGCAGCAATGAGTTGTGTAAATTGAGTCCATGGATGGATGGCTGATTTCCTTGACGGTCTGGGCTGTGCACACACCCTCTGTAGTTTCTTACGATCCTGGGCAGAGCAGTTGCCATACCCGGCCGTCATGCACCCTGACAGTAAGCTTTCAATGGTGCATCTGTAGAGGTTAGTGAGGCTCCCTCCAGACATGTCAAATTTCCTGAGGTGCCTGAGGAAGAGGAGGCATTGTTCTGCCTTCTTGACCCTTGCATCTATGTAGGAAGTCCAGGACAGGTCGTCCATTATTGTCACTCCAAGGAACCTGACGCTCTCCACCTCAGTTCTGTTGATGTAGGTGGGGGCATGTTCTCCTTCTTTCTTTCTGAAGTCAATGATCAGTTCTTTAGTTTTGCCGACATTGAGAGAGGTTGTTCTCATTGCACCACATCCCCACGCCCTCTATCTCCCTTCTGTATTTTGACTTATCGTTGTTAGATATCAATCCTATTATGGTGGTGTTGTCAGTGAACTTGTAGATGGGGTTCATTTGGAATTTGGCAACACAGTCGTGAATTTACATGGAGTACAGTAGGGGGCTGAGGATGCATCCTTGGGGGGTTCCAGAGTTAAGTGTTGCTGTGGAGGAGGTGCAATTACCTATCTTCACTGACTGCGGCCTGTGGGTCAAAAGGCTGAGGAACCAGTTGCTTAATGCAGAGCCGAAATCAAAGTCTTGGAGTTTTGAGATCAGTCTGGAGGGGATAATAGTGTTGAAGGTGGAGCTGTAGTTAGTGAGGTGTCCTTGTTGTCCAGATGTTCCAGGGATGAGTGCAGGGCTAGGGATATGCCGTCCGCTGTGGACCTGTTATGTCAGTAGACAACTTGTAGGGGATCAAGGCAGGCTGGGAGACTGGAGTTAATATGGGCTATGACCAACTTCTCAAAGCACTTTATGATTATTGAAGTCAGAGCTATTGGGTGTTAATCATTAAGGCACACTGCATGTGTTTTCTTAGGTATGGGATGATGGTGGTCTTCTTGAAACAGGTATGGACTTCGGCTTGTAGGAGGGAGAGGTTGAAGATGACAGTGAATACCCCCGCCAGTTGGTTCACACAGAATCTGAGTGCTTGACCGGGGACTCCATCCAGGCCTATAACTTTCCTTGGGTTGACTCCCAGGAAAACTGATCTGACATTTGCAGCAATGACAGTGGGCACAGGTGTATCTGGGGCTGTCGGGGCATTCTGCTCCAACTGAGCATAGAAAGCATTAAGCACATCAGGGAGGGATGTGTCTTTATCCGCTATCTTGCTCTGCTTCATTTTGTATCCTGTAATGTTGTTTTGGCCTTGCCATAGGTGGTGTGAGTCTGTTTGATAGGTTTGGGCCTCTAACTTGGTCCAGTACTGCTTCTTGGCCTCCCTGATGGCTTTGCGGAGGTCATATCTGGATTTCCTGTATCGTTCTGGATCATCCAACTTGAATGCTGTATGCTTGGTCATCAGTAGGGAGTGGGGATTCCCTGGTTAATCCAAAGTTTACGGTTGGGGTACACTCAGATTGTCCTGATGAAGGGTCCAGACCCGAAATGTTAACTTTCCTGCTCCTCTGGTGCTGCCTGACCTGCTGTGTTCCCCCAGTTCCACACTGTATTGATTTTGACTCCGGCATCTGCAGTTCTTGCTAACTCGGATTATCTTCTTTGGTATACAGCCCTCTACGCATTTTCTAATGAAATCCGTGATGGTGGTGGTGTACTTGTCTAAGTTTTCCACTGAGTACTTCAACATGGTCCAGTCCACCGAATCCAAGCAGTCCTGGAGACGGTCTTCCACAGTCTCGGACCAGCATTGTACCTCCTTTTGTGAAGGGTCCTCCCGTTTCAGCTTTTGCTGGTTAAGCTGGAAGGAGGAACACAGTGCTGTGATCTGATTTTTGAAGTGTGGACAGAGGATGGAGCAGGAGGCATCTTTGATGGTTGTATAGCAGTGGTCCAGAACGTTTGGGCCTCTGGTGGGGCAGGAGATGTGTTGGTGGTACTTTGGCAGCACACTCTTGAGGTTGGTTTGGTTGAAGTCGCTAGTTACAATTACACAAGGTAACAAAGTTCAAATTTGAAGAAACTGCTTCAGTAACGCTTCTGGCCTTCTCAAGCGGTCTAAATAAATCTAGCAAGCATCTTCCAAGGGACGCCACATGTGCAAATCAGGTTTTAAATATTTTTAATTACATCAACTATTAAAGATCGTCACTACATTGCAGAATACATTGGTTTAGATCTATGTTCTGAACCAAAGACACAGTAAAATTAGTTCAAGACACCATCAAAAAGTATTGTTTCCAACTTAAAGTATTAGCCGATGTTGAAAATTTCTTTATTAACGTTGTGGATTACTCTTGAATATGAAAAATGCTATTTTAACCCTGAACTTAATAGGACTTTACTTTTTTTTTGATTCTGAGGCACTAACAAGTAAATTCATTTCCTCTGGGTTGATACAGGGAAACAAAGATTGTCAGGTACATCAGGTAGAGGTTTGCCATTTGACTGGCTTAAAGAAACTACATTTAAGAGTTTGGAATAGCTCTTCCAAAGTGGAACAGGCCAGTAAAGCAGACAAGAAAATGAAAGATGAAATATAGATTGGTAAAAATGGGACAAGAATGAAGTATATAAAATACTCAAGCACTGTATGTGTTTTCATAATTTAGGTTTTATATTGATAGTATGGTCCTTGGAGGAATCTTTTAGGGGAAAATGAACATTCTCCATTCCTCTTCACCCCTGCCCAACCACAATTTCACGGTAGTAGGTAGAAACTCTCAAAACTGACTCACATCCAGAAAGACATAAAATGAATCAGACCTGGTAAACTGGAAGCCAATACTAAACCTGGTTATTTTGAGTGATATTGGGTTTCATTTTAATTGATTTAACAATAAGTGAAAAACAAGTAAAGATGAATTTCAAGCCACTACAATGCTGCCTGCAGCTCTGGAGATAAGGCCTGAGTTAACGTAATTGGATTGGTTCTGGACAAAGGCTGTTAGTAGTCCAATCACTGTCCCTCCTGTGGCTCAATATCAATCAGTTTCATATTGAAACTTCATACCTTTGAGTCTTCAACCGTTTTGTTTCCATATAAATGGATTGGAATGTTGTAGAACTGCAAAGACGGTCACAGGCAGAGTTTGCATATGGCAGCTTCTAGCCAGTTTTTGGTTATTAGCAGAAACAGATTTACATCATAAATATTTTACAATATTTTAGGCAGATAATTGACCTTCCATGTTGTTCATGCATTGCAAATTTGAAAACCAGGCATAGAGACCTAATGCAATTCAATTTCATCTTTGTAGATTTGCATAAATACTGACCCTACAGAAAAATCAAAAGTAAGCTGGTTAAAGATCAAAAACGCCAAATAACAGAAGACTTATTTAATTTCATCCATTACTGTTATGCATTCTGAAATTAGTTTCAATTCTCCTTTATGAACTATATTCCAACAGTATAACTAACATCTAAGAAAAACAAGACAAGAACAAAATGTTGACAAGATCCTTTACAGTAGATCATGCAAACTTCGGTTAACATATACTAATTCTGTCCTATAAATAGGGCCAACATTAAATAACTTTTCCTGTCGACAACGTTTATTTTCCTTGAACTCAAGTACAGGAACGGGTGCAATTAAGTCATGACATCCTGCGATTGCTCAGTAAAGATCTCTGGTACACATGATACATATCTACGGTGCTAAGATTTTGTCCCAGTCTGTTATTCGAGACTCTTCAGCCAAAATACTCCAGTTAGGGGAATGATCAGGGGCGAGCCAGTTGAAATCGTCTATAACATTCCAATTGTTTTTTGTTCTATCTAAACCCGCCAGCTCAAAATCCTTCTCAATGCCTTCGTACTTCCAGTTAAACGGAGCAAACGAAACTCCAGTGCAGTCCTCGACGATGGCTCTGCTGGTCACATGCAAATATACATTGGCATCCTTGGTATTATGGGTTCGCAGCTGCTGACAAGCGAAGGCAAAGGTGCAGCCGACGGACTGGTCAATGAACACTGAGGTAGAGACAGGTCCGCACAACACTTTCGAATTAGTGACATTCTTGACATGGAGAGTGTTGGGCGAACCCAAGAGCTGGACCACGCAGTTGGACAACCGGGTCAACAACACATCCTTGCCGGTGATCTCGTCTGCCCGCCGGACCAGCACCTGGGAGTCGGCATCCGAAAAGCCGCAGAGGTTTTCCTCGGTCGCGACGGGGTCGGTCGGTTTCTTGTCGGACGGGGAATCGGTGGATTTGGTTTGTTTGGGGCCGGCGCCTTCTTTTTTGCGGGACTTGAAAGCGAATTTCTTCTTGGGCAGAAACTCCTCCCTCTTCTCCACCACAACCCCCTGCAACTTCTGCACCGCGTCCTGGGCCTGGCGCAGCTCGTAGGCGGACAAGAATATCATGCTGTCGTTGACAAACTTCTGCAGCCGCTGCATCTTCTGCGAGATCTCCTCGAAGCGGGCGCTCAACGCGTTTCGGTCGGTGCCTTCGCAGCTTTCCAGCAGCGCCTCGATCGCTGCCTTCTCCTCCGAAAACGCCGTGGTGAAGAAGTTGGACTTTTCTTCCTTCACCGTGGTCACATCTTTGGCCATTTTCCTCCTCTCCACCCCCTGCTGCCTCTCCTGGTCTCTCCGCTGCAGGATCTCCACCATCTTCTCTTTACGCCGGTCATATTCCGGGATTTCTTCCGTTAAACTCTCCCGGTTCTCACTCTCCCCGACTAGCGCCATCTTGAACCGTTTCTAACCGAACTCTCAGCATCGAGCCATTTCATTAGTCCTAACCCGGGCCGCGTTCCCCGGCACTGGTCACTCTGATTGGCTGGTTTTGTAGGTCAGAGGTCGAGGGGTGTAGTATTGTAGTTGATAGGCTGAAATCTGACCAGTTGGAAACCTTAGGCAGAGTTTGTGGAGAATGAATGTTTCGGGGGATGATTATTTATCAGAACTAAGGGAAGATGGATATTTAACATGGAGCATATAAAGAGCAAGGACGTGGGGGAGACAGAACAAAAGGGAAGGAATGTTATGGGATGGCATGCGAGAGAGCAAATTGTATAAAATTTCACGGTAGAAAAGCTAAAGGGTATAACAGAAGGAAGGTCCCGACCCAAAACGTCAGCTTTCCTGCTCCTCTGATGTTGCCTGGCCTGCTGTATTCCTCCAGCTCCACACTGTTATCTTTACCATAAGGAAAGATATGTCCACATTAGCTGTGAGTTAGAGTAGAGCAAAGCAGTAGTCTGAATACTAAAGGAAAGAATAAGCAAGTACAAAAAAAACAGCAAAATAATACACGAAACAAGATGTTGAGATCTGGTGTTGCTGAACGCGACGTTGGGTTCAGAAGGCTGTAAAATGCCGAGTTGAAAAATGAGCTGGTGTTCCTTCAGGTGGCAATAAGCTTCACTGGTGACCAAAGACAGGGGTATAAACAAGCTGGATATGTAAAATAAATATCGAAAGAACTACAGATGTTGTAAATCAGGAACAAAAAACAAAGTTGCTGGAAAAGCTCAGCAGGTCTGGCAGTATCTGTGAGGGAAAAAAAAAGTTAACGCCGTTCTGAGGAAGGATCACCGGACCCGAAACGTTAACTCTGTTTTTTCCTTCACAGATGCTGCCAGACCTGCTGAGCTTTTCCAGCAACTTTGGATATGTAATGTCCAGTGACAGAAAGCTCACACTTACGCCTGCAGCATGAATGGAGGGGTTCATAAAGCAGTCGTGAACCTGTATTTATGACCACATTGTGAGCAGTATATTAAATTTAATTTTGGGAAAAGTGCTTTGGACCTTGGTGTGAGAAAGGAGGAAGATGGGTGGGTGTTGCATCTTCTAAGCTGGCATGGACAGATGAATAGGAAAGGGATAGGTGAGGAATAGTCCAAGTGTTGTAGCGAGATGTGTCCCTTTGGAATTTTAAAAGAGAAAGACAGGGAGAGATGTGATTGGTGGAGGCCTTCTGTTGCAGGTAACAGAAATGGGAGTGGAAGATCTGTTCCAAAACAAATAAGCTGGAGGGGGGAACAAGGGAAACCCTATGTTTGTTTTAGGAGGGAGGAGTTGGTTGGGAGCAGAACTGCAATAAAGAATCAAACACAGTGGAGGATACTATCGATCGTTTAGGGATAAGAATCTTTGAAGAGAAAGGAAGATATTAGAAGGTTGAACATCTGAACAGTTGAGAAGAACAAATGGGAGAATGGAAATAGAGGCCATAGAGGAAGTGGGGTGTGAGAAGTATAGTCAAGTAGGACTTAGGGCATGTGGGAGATAGAATGATGAAAGTGTAATAGGTTTTGGGCAAATAAAGGGGGCAGAGTTCAGGAAAGGAAGAACAAAGGGAAGAAATGTAACAGGGTGACTTAAGAGAGAGCAAAAATCAAAAAGGTTTCATGGTAGAAAAGCTAAAAAATAAAAAAAAACCAATGGATGTGGTGAATTTATAATGTAGGGACACTTTAAAAACTTTTTGTTTTATTTAAGGAGTAGGGATGACAGTTGGTTGCTCAACTTCCACCAAAAGGGAGCATGAATTTGTAACAAGTGCTGTTGGGCACCGGCCCAATTCAGGAATTCAAAATAAATGTCATTATCCAATGCATGGTAAGAAAGTGGAACTTGCTATCACATGGAGTGGTTGAAGTGAATACTGTCACAAAGGTGTTATGGCATAGGAGACCATTTGATCCACCAGCTCTTCAAATGAGCATTCTTACTTAGTGTCAATCTCCTGATTTTTTTCCATAACTGTACACATTATCTCAATCCAAATAAAATTTCCCAGTGCCTTTTTGAATGTCTTATTTGATTCTGCTTCCACTGTAGATGTATTCAAGAGGAAACTGGACAAGCCTATGAGGGCAAAGGGAATAGATGGTTATAATGGTAAGTTTAGATTGGAAAAGATGCCAGTTGACTCTAAAGGAGCTTAAGTACCAGTATAAAATGGTTGGGTTGAATGGTCCATTTCTGTACTATTTATACCTTGCAATCTATGAGAAATAATAAATATATTACAGGAGCAACAAAATACAAATAACAAACAAATGGTAATATCATCAGTGTTCAAAATACATTCCGTGCCCTGTGGTGTCTACCGGTTTAGAACCAAGCCCATAAACAAAACTGAAGCAGCACGGGCAGTAAGGGCTGTACTGTCAGACTACACTGGATTGGGATGAGATAGAAACTTGATTCAAAGTCGGAATTTGGTACGTGGGAGAAAGAAGTGTTTTAAGTAAATTTTAATGCAAGAAATTAAGGTTGCTGTATGTGGAGTTCTGTGAAGGGAGGAGTATATGTTCCTTTATGAGCAGTTGATGATGGCAACTATTTCTCAAAGTTCAGAAATCTTAAATTTTTAAAAAAAAAACAACCTATTTCACAAAGAATAGTTATAATAAATAGTACAGAAGTAAAATTAAAGTATGGCAGGACAACTCAGCCAAAGTGGAATGCTTGTCCAGTGGCTTGTAGGGAGTTACGGGCATTTCATGTGAGCTAGTCAAGCACATATAACAAGTGACACTAGCTGCACAATCTTGATGCCCATGTTTAGGCGCCCGATCAGTGGCTGGAGTCACTGGTTCATTATGAGGCATGTAACTATGTGGATATCATATTCAGAGAGGTAGTCACATGACAAACAGGGGCACGCAGATAGAAAGGGAATGGGTGACCACTAGGCAGTCAAAGACAGCCAGGCAGGTAGTACAGAATCCCTTAAGGTCTTGCTTACCAATGGATTTTCCATACTAAATACCGACAAGAGTAATGGTTCCTCAGAGATGCACAGTAAAAACTTGGTACCATACGGCCCAGCTGTACAGGAGGGAAGGAAGATGAGGGAAAGTGCAGTAAGTGAAAGGAGATTAATCAGGGGAATGGATAGGTATTTCTGTAGTTGTAGATCTAACTCCAGGATAGCATGTTGCTTCCCTGGCACCAAGGTCAAGGATATCTTAGATTGGTTGTGGAATATTTTTCTGGGAGAAGGTGAACAGCTAGAGGTTGTGGTCCATGTTGGTATCAAAGTAATTGGTAGGAAGGAGAATGTGGTCCTGCAGATAGAATTTAGGGATCTTGGTAGAAAATTAGTAAGCAGGATCTCAAAACTAATTATCTCCAGATTACTCCCAGTGCCATGCACAAGTGAGTACAGAAATAGAAAGGTAAGGCAGACAAGTGGATGGCTAGAAAGACAGTGGACTTTAATGTTCTGAATACAGACCGAGACATTGGTTGTGAAAGAACAGCATGGAGCAAGTGTTCTTAGATTGTGTTCATGAGAAATTTCAACAGCAGTACATGTCCAGTCCAACAGGTTTGGAGCCATTGTGAGACTCTGGTTCTTGGGAATGAGATGGGCAAGTAGATCAAGCATTAGTGAGGGGAACATTTAAACAACAGTAATCATTGTATCAGAAGGTTTAACAGTGATGGTGGAAAAGGACAATTTAGAATTTATTGTCATGTGTACTTATATAAGAAAAATACAACGAAAAGTGTTATAAGTCGCCTTACCTTGGTGCCTGTATTAATGTCAGAAGTCATAAGTAATTTCATAAGTAACAGTTAGAAGTAAATTTAAGACAAAAGTTCGTCACAGTCAATTTAACGGCTTCTGGTTTCAGAGGAAGCCGATCAAAAGACGAAACACACAGCCAGACTGAGACCATCAAATGTTCATACAAAACCTACACGCCGGGCCACTGGAAAAACTGGGCTGAAAGTCTCCTCTGAAGAAAACTGTTGCTGGGACAAGACCGCCATCCTGGATGAGAAACACCACACTGGGCCGTCAGAACGCCAGGCTGAAAGCATCTGCCAAAGATAATGCCGCCAGGAAGAGACCGCCAATCTGGATGAAGACGCCTCACTGGACTGTCGGAACACTGGGCCGGAAGCGTTCACTGGAGATTAAACTGGACCGCCGACTAGACCTTAACACCAGGACAAAGCCGTCATGCCAGGAGACCACTCGCAGAGCCGACAGGGGGACAGCTGACCGTAAGGTGGCAAGAAGGGAGATGGTTTGAATAGATTAGAAAATAGAAACAAAGAAATCAGGAGCAGGAATAATCCATTTGCCCTATTGAGCCTTCTTTGCCATTCAACATGATCATGGCTGATCCTCTATTTCAACACCATTCTCCCCCCCCCCCCCCGTTATCCTCTCAAAATCTATTTATTTCTTAACTATATTCAGTGACTTCGCATTTATAACCTTCTGTAAAAGAGAATTCCACAGGCTCACCGCCATTTGACTGAAGAAATCTTTCCTCATCTCCATTTAAAATGACCTACACTGTATCCTGAGGCCATGATCCCTTGCTCCGGCTCCCTTGCATTCGGTCTGGGCAGTTCTACCAGAATTTTATATGTTTCAGTTAGATCCCCAATCAATCATCTAAACTCCAATGAATTCATCCCTAGTTGTCTTCTTGTATGACAAACTTGCCAGGAATCAGCTGGTCCTGCTATGGCAGTTATATCCTTTCTTAGATAAGGAGATCCAAACTGCACATAATACTTCAGATGTGATCTTACCACGGCCTGCCAAAGCTGCAGTAAGACTTCTTTTCTCTCTGTAATTAAACCCTTTTGCAATGAAGGCCAATGTACCATTTGCTTTCTTAATTGCTTGCAGCACTTGCACACCTGCTTTCAGTGACCAGTATACAAGGACACCAAGTACTTTTGTATATCAACCTGTTCCAATCTGCTACCATTTAAATAATACTCTGCTGTTCTGTTTTTCCTATTGAAGTAGCAACTTCACACTGATCCACATTATACTGCATATGCTTTTGTTTACACACACACTCAATTTATCTAAATCACCCTGAAGACTCTTTACAGTTTCCTCCACTCAAATATCCCACCTAGTTTTGAGTCATCCACAGGAAGCTTCAAAATATTATACTTGTTTACCTCATCCAAATCTTAGATATATAGTGTGAATAACTGAGGCCCAAGCATTGGCCCCTGCATACCCCACTTGATACTGCTTTCCTATCCTAACCTTAACTTATTCATTCCTACTCTCTGTTTTCTGTCTGCTAATACGTCCTCAATCCATGCCAATGTATTACCACTAATTATGTATTTTGATTTTGTGCACTAATCTCTTAGTAGGACTTTATCAAAAGCTGTCTGAAAATCTAAATACATCTACTGATTCACCTACATCAATTCTAGTGGTTACATCCTAAAAAAAAATTTCTATTCCGTAAAACCATATTGACTTTGCGTAATTCCAATTTTTTTTTTAAGTGTCCCATTATCACATACATTCCAGCATTTTCCCTAACACTGGTTTTAGGCTAACTGGTCTGTAATTCCTTGCTTTCTCCCTCCTATGTAAAATAACCTGGTTACATTTGCCACCTCCCAATCTGCCAGGAATGTTCCAGTCGAGCTGCATCCATGGATATTGAATGAAGTGAGAAGGGAAATTGCAG